GATACATCAACAAGCTCAAATTTTACCAATCAGCACAAACTAATGCAAGACGATTTACAAGAAGATTACGATAAACTAGAAATGACTACATTCAAAAATAAACTGAAGGAAATCATGGGCCATTCTCAAGATGAAGTTCAGAGTGATGGTCAACTCGATGATTATGAAGCAGATGAAGATGAAACAGCTTCCGATGAAATTTTTGTTACCGACGAAGGTGCCTCTTTAAAACAATCTATTAGTTCACTTGGTTCTCAATGTGCCCTTGATGAGCCCAACTGTGATGAAGACGCTAATGATGAAATCTCAATCATTGAGAACAAGAACCTTGACAATGTTTTTGATGGTAATAATGAAGATGATCAGGATTATGAACTTTCTAAATATCGAAGCAAGATTATTTCGGAAGTGAGAGAAGAGAATGAACGCCATCAAACCATCTTAAACTGTCACGATTTACTTAGCAATCAAGAGCGTGAAAACGCCCGTGATATAATTAAAGATTTGACTCAAATTTTACCCGAATTATTGGCAATGAAAAATAGTATTCAAATTGACAATGCACTGCAAAAATTTTCTTCCAATTTCTGTAAAGGTAAGCATCTGCACTTTTATTTCTTTTCATTTGATATTTCTTGATTCTGAATTATTAATTTTTTCATTCTTGCAGCTGTCTGGGAAAAACGTAAGACAATCATCGAATCATCAAGTGATCCCTTAATAATAAATGGAGACGGCGTTTACTTAGCTGTTTACTCTGCTCTATCCCTTAACCTGAAATTGATAAAAGAAGACTATTACAATGAATCGAAGCAAATTAATCCACCGATTACTGAACAGGAATTTATTGATGATATTTATAATAGTGGAGTCTTGGTCTATCTATCATCAACTTGGCTAGCCGAACTATATCAGCAGATATTAGCTAACAATCTTTTAGGTGACTCTGGATACATGTATTCATCATCTAATAATACTGCTCTAATTAACATGATAAGAGGTTAAAATGATACTTTTACTTGAAAAGACTTGCAATCAGTATAAATAAATACTTAATTGTTTCTAATCTTGTTTATGATTCAGATATTGATGGTGATAGTGATACTCCTGGTAGCTATGAACTTTCGGATTATCGCAAATTGACGCAAACTAGTTTACAGCTCACAAATCCAGTGAATGATGGTCAAAATGTTGGTCGAATAATTGCAAGACGTGTTCTTGATACATTTTGGGATTCAATCATTTCAATTATGGAATCAATTTTTACCAGTGATGCCAACTCTTCAAATCAATCTCCTTTTCTTCTGATTTTAAATCATGGTTCTGAGAAAGACAATACTGAGAGAAGGAGCATCTTGATCAACTGTCTAGCCACTCTACAAACGGCTTCAAAACTTTGCATAGCTTTAGGCCTTCAATCTCGGTGCAATGGTATTTTTCATTTATTATCTCGCTCTATTCTAGTCAGTCCATTATCGAAAATTGATAAAGAAAATGACATTTGGATCGAAAATAAAGGCGCAAAATCAAATCAATCGAAAAAGACTCCAATCTCTCTACATGTTTCTCAGGTATTGAGTCTGCGATCAATGTTGACTGCTGGATTACAAATCGCAACTCACTGTGAACCTTGTTGGGACTATATGTTTCAAAGTTGTACCTTTATAAGTGAATTAGAGAATGAATATTTCTCTTCCAGAACCAAGAAACCACTTAAAAGCAGACTTAGCTCTCTTCTTCGTTCAAGAAAACAATCAAATGACCCGCTACCTGAATTCAGCCAGATTGAAGTATCTTCAAATTTTCTTGGATTGGAAACTGAGTCAGATGTTAACAAATGTTTGGAACAATGTATCAATGCCGTTATAAACGAAAAGAATGGAAGAAAGGGCGATGGAATTTTGGTGGATTCTTTGTTGGAACGATCACTCGAATGCTTGTCTCACCTCTCGGACCGTCTTTTTACTGAAGCAACTTCTCGGCTTAACCTCAAATCTCTTCTTGCTTTCCTTGAAGCTCTCATTTCAAACTCTAGTCGTCAGATTAATGCACTTTCCAAAAAAGCAAAAAACAAATCTCCATGTACTTTATTGTTCGCTCGTTTCTGTGATGTCCTTTTACGAATTGGTAAATCCGGCCGGCCACTTATTCATTTCATGAGATGTTGGGCACTTGCGGTTCCTCACTTGATTGAAGCTTCCAATTGTCAAAGATTTGACATTACTATCTGTAAATCAGCTGTATCAGCAGTTAATGATATTATTTCAACCATTTTGGCTATTCACACTGAATTAGATTACTTCCATTTCAACGAGGCTCTCTTCATTCCATACGAAAAGATTTTACTTTTAGAGTTATGTGATTCCGATATTCAAGAGATGATAGTCAGTTCAATTTGTGGTTTTGTTGAAGGATCCAGAGAAGATGTCAGATCAGGATGGCGCTCATTATTTGCAGCTTTGCGAGGAGTTGTGCTTCCTGAATCTGGATTTGCCATCAATTCTCAACAAAACTCTGTTAATGATTTATCCGAGCGTCAGATTGAACGAGTCAGACAATTACGAGTAATTCTGGATATCTTTGAAGCTTTCTTGAATACACAAAATTTGGATATTTTTGCCAATGCTGCTCTTGATTGTATCATTTGTCTTCTTGGTTTGATGAAAGATCCACTGGCCGAAGAAACTAATCTTGGTGAAAATGAACTGATCTCTATTTCTAATGAAACAAATTCTGCGATTGAAAGAGAAAACTCAGTCAATGAAAATAATGTCGACCTTTGTCTTCTTTCCCTCAAATATCTTCATCAATTTGAATCAATGCTTCGATCAATGTACAAAATGCCTGGTTGTCCGTTCTTTATCTCTTCTAGACGAATCACTTTATGTGAAGAATCAAAAACCATTGAAATACCCGAAAATTGGTCTTCTGAATTGTCTCCAATCAACCTTGATATTCCTATTAAATTGTCATCTTTTGACAAACCATCGAGAATCCTCAATGTTTGGTTCACCTTGGTGGATGGAATATTTAATTGTATAAATAGATGTCCAAAAATAAGACAATCCAAAACAATTGAGACTTGCATGGCGATTCTTGGTACACTAAGAAGTAACCCAGGCAATCAATTTGCCATTTATTGTATAAATCACGTCGCACTTCCATTCCTTCAACGATGGATTCGAGAAATCAACAATCAACTGTCATTTATATCCAGCTTACCGTCGCCGTTGATGACAAATTTCAAACATTTTTTCGGCTTAATCTCACATTTTGTAGTTCAACATGTCAAGCTGTGGTCTGAAGATAAATCAATTCTTGGAGTTGATTTAATGCTCTCACAAACTGTAATTATTTTGATTGAAGCCACTCAATCATCATACAAAGAAGCTATATCTAATCTAAGCTTCTCTTGTTTCAGGTAATATTCCTAAATTGTTTAATCATCTTGATCAAAATCATCTAACATTCTTCTTTTATTTACAGCCATGTTATTATGGAAACCTATCAATATTATGATGACAGTAAATGGGATATCATTTCTACTGCATTTCGTTTGATGCACAAAACCTGTTTAACATCTTTGATTAAGCTAATCAATGCATTTCCGAATCGAACTTTGGATTTTTATCAAGATTTGGAGCGTATAAGAGTTGTTGCACGGCGAGTCCAAATTGTACCAAAGGCTGATCTCATAACAAAAAAGCTTGCTCAGCAAATCTTCTTATTAGATTTTCAAACGCCAAAAGAATCTGATGAAGAAATTGATGAAAACTTTTCTGAAACAGAAAAATGTTTCGTTTTTGAGATTATAACTGATGAAAATAATGAACTTGAGTAAGTTTAATGAAACCTGCAAATAATGATTGCAATACATGAAACTAATTCTCTTCTCTCTTTTCAGGATTCCATTTCGAAGCTTGATTCGAGAAATTTACAAACATTCCTCTCTGGTTAAATTGATTGAATCCATTGTTTTAACTGACAGACCTTTCAGAATTTCTCCAGTCTCTTATTTTATTGAAGCCAATGACAATTATATTTGTACCAATGAATCGACATCAATCAGCCAATCTTTCATTTTTCAATCATTGGATCTTCTAATGGAATCCTATCGTAATTTCCACGAATTTGATACCAGATTGGGTTTAAAATTGGTTATTCAAAAAATGGCTCGCATTCATGTTCCTGCTAATCTGTACAAACAAACGGCATCTTGTTTTGCTTCATCATTCCTTATCTGCTTCAATTCAGTTATTTTAGGCCATGAAAATGGGCCTGAAGAAATTTCGAGATCTGGATCGCTTTTGAGAAAAATATTTGAAAAAATGTGTGGAAATTATACAGATTTAATTGTTCAATGTCAACAAGAAAATGGTAAATTGGATCAATTGATGTCTAATCCCGTGTTTTTGTTTCCCGAATCTTTGAACGAGTCCAGTGAATCAAATGATGATAAAGTTGACATTAAAGATGAATCCAATGATTTTGAGATTGGATCAGTTGACTCCTTCGACCAGGAATCTAAGCATGATAATTCAAAGGAAACTAAAAAATATATCGTCATGAGCAAGAATCGTATTGACAATGTGATGAAAAATTATCGTAAATGGAAGTCTCAACATTCACCTCTTCCACCATCATTCAATGATTCATGGAATCAAAAAAATCAACTTCCAAAACGTTACCGTGGTAATTTGGATCTAACCAATGGTTCGGAAAAGGATCAAGAATATCTTGTGAAAGATACTGATGCCTATGAGACTCTTTTTTCCCAAATTTTAATCTCAATATTTGAATGTATGTTGACCCTTCCCGATTCCCAATTTGACCTCATTATGCCCTTTCTCAATGAAGGCATTGAAAATTTAATTATTTACGCTCAGTCTAAAGATTTAAGGTCTGTCCTTGCATTACTTTACCGTCGATACGCACAACGAAGGTAACAGTAATTTATCCAACAATCAATTCCATAACTATCTCATTCCTCATATTTTAATTAAAATGTTGTTTATTGTCATGTTGAACAATAATTTCTTTTTCTTTTCACAAACAAAGACCCAAAAAATCTTCAAATTCATCTTAGCTCATAAGGTTAGCTTATCTCAACCTTAATGAGTTTTACTCAACATTGTCCATAGAAATGGTTTAAAAAAATTGATTGTTAACTCGTGAAAAATACTAGAAGTGTATTTGATTCATAAATGATTGATCATCATAAAAATTGATTCCAAAGCATTCAGTATTTGCTTAACAGTTTGAAGTTTTGTCCCAACATGCTTAAAATCTTGAGCCGGTTGTGTTCATAGATTAGTAATTCATGAATTGAACATGCTTTTTCCATTTTCTTTCACATGTCAATTAAGAATCGCAAGAAAAATTATAATTGATACAAAACTGTAACAACTATCAGGTTGACTACTTGCCTTAAAACTCATAAACTGATATTTTTCTTTATATATCTATTTGACTTGACTATGGTGCTTTTAGTTCTTGTGTACAGGGGATCTGATATGAATATAATGAATATAATGAACATAATCTCATTCAGTTGAGCTTGCACTTAAATTCTGAAGTTTTTTTTGACGACACAACCTCATTGAGCATCATGCTGAAAAGTCCCTTTTTAGCCTAATTTTGGTAGTTTTTCAATCATATTTCCCAAATAGATGAAATCTTTACCTATTAATTGATATAAATCTATTCAACAATGCTAAATAATCAAAATAAGAGTTTAATTTACAATTACAAAACACAAGCAACCTGGTATTTCACCAGTATATTGAAACTAAGCTTTTCGCGCTAATTTCTTAGAAATCCTTTTTATTATTTCACATAGCATTCAACTTTACATATTTCAGATTTGCTTTCCATTAACTAATTAAGTGACTTTAAAAAATATCCTTAGATATTGACAGTTAATCAATTTTCACGGTAAACGATTTATCTTGTCAAGTGTCTGTTGCTACTAGTTGGGTCCAGATTTTGTGTCATTGAAGAGACTATCTCTGTATCTTCTTGTCAAATAAATATGATAACTTATTTAGTCAAATTTTTTTAGTCTATTCAAATATTAGCCTAATTATGAAATGATAATTTAAATTATATCAGTTGAAATAGGAAATGATAACTATTATATTATAATGTGTTTGCTGCAAACAACTTCAAAAGAGGGCATTACTTGTGCTAGATATTTGTTTTATTGATTCGAGATGTCGCTCTTTAAAGTTAAATCATTTTTTGAGCTTTTAAATTGTTGTTTTTAGGGAATGATAAACTGTCTTTTCTTGTTTAACTGTATTCAATTGCTTTCTTTCACGTTAATGGTGATAATGGACACATTTAAGTTGTCTCATTCGACTTGAATGTGTTAGATTTGATAGTTTCATCAAATTACATTGTGAATATTAATAAGCATCATATCAAATAATAATCCTTATGGCTACTGAAAGAGCCTTTGACGAAGATGGTGCAGCTAATGTAATCGCTCAAGGATCAGAGCTTAAATATGACTTTCAGCCAGGCGACATTGTTATGGCACCTTGGACTGCCGATGGCCAGTAAGTAATATATCCTATTGATTGAACCTATTGAATAAACCGTTTTTATTATTATCTTGCTTGCAATCTTCTTGATATAGATTCTATGAAGCTGAAATAGATGATATTTTTAGTGATGGCCAATGTTGTGTTGTATTTTCTAATCTACCCAACGGGAAGATGAACGTTTCACAAACCTGCCTAGTCACATTACTTAAGCCAGCTCAAGGTGCTAAGAGAAGGATGAAAATCGACACCAGTGGATTAAGAGCAATCACTATACGATTATTCATGAGTAAGCTTTGTATCTTGAAATGTCAATTTTACAATGTAACTGTTTCGTTTTTTTACTATTTTGTTTTCTAATTAGACTGGAGTATTAAGTTGCGTACTAGTTTCAATCCTGAGATACCTATTTGGCTATTAGGATTAAGATACCAAAGTATTGCTGGGTCTGATGTATCCAGGAACCAAGTTCTGGAAAAATTTAGACAGGATTTTTCGAGTCGTATTTGGTTAACATATCGCCGAGACTTTAAGAGGCTACCTGGCTCAATGCTCACCTCAGACAGGGGCTGGGGGTGCATGTTAAGAACGGGTCAAATGATGTTGGCTCAAGCCTTTCTTACTCACTACTTAGGTCGAGAATGGCGTTGGAATCGAACACAGTCTGATAAAAGTGGAATGATTCATCGAATGATAATTAAATGGTTTGCAGACGATCTGACATCTGATTGTCCATTTTCAGTACACCAACTTATTAGGATGGGGTCATCATTAGGCAAAAAACCTGGAGACTGGTTTGGACCTTCAAGTATATCTATATTATTACAGTAAGGTCATTTTCTTATTGACAAGGTTACTTACTAGTTGAACTGATGATAGTTATAGATTTAAATCAAGAAAACTTCAATTGTTTCAATTTTAAGGAACTCTGTTCATCAATAATGAATATTCATGAAGATTTACATTTAGAGGGAAAAGCTATCATTTACAGTCATTTATCATACAATTCTGAATAACAAAGATATCAAATTAACACTTTTCTATTTTTCTTTTTTTCAGGAAAGCTTTAGCTGCCGCTGCTCCATCTAATCCCATTTTGAATAATATCTGCATTTATGTTGCAAATGACTGTAGGGTATTCATTCAAGATGTCATTAATATGTGCACCTCACCTACAATTGCTCACAAAAAATCTGACAGTATTACACGTGAATATGGACGTTCACTCATTAATAAACATTCAACTCGCTTATCATTAGACTATGGTCGTTCTTTTGATATCAATGAGCATGGCTACTTCTCGATGCAGCATAGTGACGTCGAACGAGGTCCAACCACAACATCTCGTCGTCACTCAACTAAACCAATTTTCTATGGTAAAGCCATGTCCACTATAAATTTGACTGATGCAGGAAACAGTGTCACAAATAGTCCTAACTTAGGAAACCATCCATCTATGGATTATGTAAACAACTCATCTTCCTCATTCTCCAGTAATTCCCATCATCATCAGTTTCCTTCTCGTTCTCAGCGTCCGACAAGCTTACCCAGTGAGCCCAGTCGAGATAAATGGAAGAGTGTTATTATTATTGTACCTGTGCGACTAGGAACTGAAGTCTTAAACCCTATTTATGGCTCTTGTATTAAATCCCTTTTTCGTCTTAAGTCATGTTTAGGTATAATTGGTGGTAGACCTAGACACTCGTTATATTTTGTTGGTACAACTGAAGATAAATTAATCTACCTTGACCCTCATAATGATCAGAAAGCAATTGATCCAAGCAAAACTGATTTCCCCCTGGATTCATATCACTGTGACTTTCCTCGTAAATTATCAATTGATCGGATGGATCCAAGTTGTGCCATTGGTTTTTATTGTCGAACACGTCAAGAATTTAATGAATTAGCAGACACAATCGGAGAAGTGATAGTTCCAAAACACACTGATTATCCCATGTTTGTTGTCTCTGAAGGTTCAGCATCTGCTCATCGTTATGATTTAGATTGTTCAATGGAGCAAACCATTCGTGTTAAGCATCGTTATATTGATGCGCTTGGAGAGATCACTTCTGAATTTGATGCAGATGAGTTTGTTATGATCTGATTCAAAAACAAGTTTCCCTTGACTCTTTCCTAACCACGGATCTCAATAACCTAACATAAATCACTCATGTCAAGAGAAATGTAAACAACGATAAACTATTGATTTGCATCAGGTTCAAGAAAATAAATTAATAATAGACAATATTTATGCAGAATTATTTATTTTGTACAAATTAGGGCAAATGATTTGTATGTGTTGCCTCAACTGTGAATACGAAGGCCTATTAGATAATGGTGCTCAACTTCACGCCCATGAATGCTTACATATGTGGTTGATAATTTTTTTATGAATACTCTTGAAATGAATAATCATAACAGCTTATTGTATTAATTATCTGAAAGGTCTTTGTATACACTAGGAGTCAGAAAAAATTGCCGATTTTGTTAACTTAACCCTGATCACTAGTGTACTGAAAATTGTTTCCTCTATTCAATTTTTAGTCTAATCATGTTTTATTTTGAAATTTTATTGCAATATCTTGAACCATAGACATTTTTGATCAACTTCACCGAAAATCAATCTTTTTTAGACCAATCTATCACCAAAAAAATCAAATAAATTTTTATTTTATTTAGAAATAGCTACAATCTCTACCTATGATCATTATTTTTCTAACGTCGTTGAAAGTTATCTACGGATATAAATCCTTTGACCACAAAGACATTTCTTTAGGTTAGACAATAGATAATATCCACTAGAAATAAAAAGGATGAATAATAGAGATTAAGTTGGAACTCTTCGAATGGGCTTCCGAGGTACAAAATAACAAATATATTAACAAATACTTTTCAATAATCAATTGGAATCAATAAAGGTGAGAGGAAACGAAAGTCTTTGAGAAAGCAATGTTTCATGAAATCAAAGCCGCGACTAATTTTTTGGGGTTTAGTGGATAATTGAAGCCAATCTGATTTGATTTCATTGCCATTCCCATTGTAGTAAAATACGATTGATCGTCCATATCTTTTACAATAATCTTTAACATAATCAGCAGCTCTTCGAGTGACACCGGCACACTTTCTAACATCCCATAGCACTAAATTGGGTAAAATGTGAACCAATTGCTCTATATGTTCATCTTTTATATTCCAAGTGTCCCTCAATGCAAGATGTTTGAGATTCGGATATTTCATAAGCAATCTTTGCAAATCAATCAAGTTATTATTTCCATTTTTGCATGCGGATCCATACTGTAAATATAAAATCAATTAGTTTATAGGGAAAATTTTGAACAGATGACTCTTTCCATGTTGATTTTAATCTGAATGTATCTAATTAAATATTTATGATTCAAAGAAACAATTACATTTCAAATCTCAACAATACTTACATATTGTATAACTAAATCTCGCAAACATTTGTGTTTCAATGTTTCATCAAAAACCCAAGTATCAGGGCGCATGAAAATATGAGCACTTTGTAAATTTGGACATGAATCCATCAACTGGAAACCATAAAAAATTTTTCCATGGCCTTCGTAATGTAACTCAAGAATTTTGAGCTTTTCCAATACTGGACCATCGTAGTGTTTGTCTGGAACTGAACGATAGATTTTAATAAATGAACATTTCTGGGCAAAATATTTTCATAATTACCATCAATTTGAATCCTTAGTCTTTCAAGGTTTGGCAAATAATGTGCATCTCTTCCCAAAGCCTCTAGACTATAACCCCCAACATCCAATTGCTTTAAACTGGAACCATTTCGTAAATTGTTTGGATTGAAATAATAGACAGATAGCATTTCGAGTATACTAGTATTATAACAATATGCTTCCATTGGTTTAATAGTATCATTGATTAATCCTTTCAAAGATTCTTGTTTTTTCAAAAATTTAATAGCATCTTTATATTGAAAATCTGGCACATCAACAATCTAAGTTAATAAGATAGATAAGAAAATTAATATTCAATTAAAAATGCAAAAGTAAAGATTAATAATATCAACTTACTATTAAATTTGTAAATAATATACTCAGACAGGTTGAATCAATCGAACGTAATGTATCATAATAAACAGCATCAGATGGATGAAAAGGCCAACCTGAAAATATAAATTTCTGTGATTAAGAGATCGATGACAATGAGCATGAAACATTAATAAAACTTGAATCTTACGGATCAAATATTTAACTTTTTTAGTCCGCTTAGCAATTAAATAGCTCCATTTGGCGCACACTGTAATAAAATTTTACTAAATTAAGTAATAATACTTTCAAAACGCACACAAGATGACTTAACTAGTGTTGTATTGTTCAAAGTTCATTGTTGTTGTGGTGTATAGATTTGAAAATATTTTTTTTAGTTCCTGTTCTTCAATCTTGTTTCAAATTTCCATATTTATTTGTATGAAATAACAAAACATCAAAAAGATCAGATCAGAACAAAAACAAAACAACTTTTTTTGCCTTGTTTCATATTTAGATGAATGAATTTAAAATGGAACAAAATTTTGTACTGTTCTTGTTACTTCTATTTGCTCCAAATTTTTGAGAACAAAAATAATGCAAAATATTGTTTTCGGTTCGTAACAATACAACACTAGACTTAACATCTGTGTAAATATTCAAATACTGCGCCTAAACAGTCAGATGGTTTTATCAGGCAATAATCACAAGATGAAACTTTTATAATGAATTATTTTCAAGAGGCTATTTTCTTATCCTATCTTCTCAGAGATTATTTTCTTAATACTCAGAGGCCGAAGCTAGTTGACTCAATCGAAATATCTCTGATCAATTCAGCAAATCGTCGATCAGGTTTGCCCAAAAAATTGCAATCATCACTGAATTAGTGTCTGTCTCAAAAAATTGCCTCTCTTCAAATTGAAAATAACTTAAACAAACAAAGCTTTCACACAAACCGACTATGATAAAGTTAAATCTGTTCCTGATAAACTCAAAATGGTTCTTGATTTAGTCTGAACATAAAAACTAGGGCATCATAAGTCGAAGAAATACAAATTTCGATGATGTAAATCAAGAACAACTGAACAACTTTTCAAACTTGATAATGTAATTGAAACATATTATACTTGGTATCCACAATTTAAACAAGAGTCAATTTTGCGTGGCACACTTCTTACTACGACGGTTTTAATGGTGCACAAAAACATGATTGATACTTACCCTTATAGCAGTTTATTAGATCATGTGCGTTAACCAAATGATCAAAAATGGTGAGTAAACAATCATCGGGAATTTCATTGATCAACATTTTATAAAACGCTTAAAACTACAGTTTTCCTTGAATCTACTTATTGTAGCCAAAATGGTATTCAATGTTGAATCACTGTATCATGAATCATTTGAAAATTTTTTCCCCTGTAGCTCCCATAGATGTCAGCAGTAGATTGATATAATATATTATACATTCTTAACTGCAATACAAAAATTGAGATTCTAATTTTAACGATTCAATTTCACTCTAGATTCTTAAAAATCTCCGATTTTGTCAACTTAACCCTGATTACTAGTGTACTGAAAATTGTTGCCTCTATTCAATTTTTAGTCTAATAATATTTCGCTTTGAAATTTTATTGCAATATCTTGAATCATATTTTTGATCAAATAAATCCAGTCAAACTTTTTTAGACCAATTTATCTCTGAAGCAATCAAAAAATGTTTATTTTATTTAGAAATAGTTAAAATCATTTATCTTTTACCTATCATCATTATTTTTGAAACATCGATGAAAGTTATCTACGAATCTAAAGTTTTAACCAAAGACATATCTTAGGTTAGACAATAGATAATATTCACTAGAAAAATAGATCGCAAAATAAAGTGAATGAATAATAAAGATTAAGTTGAAACTCTTCGAATGGGCTTTCGAGGTGAAAATGCCAAATATATTAATAATTACTCTTCAATAATCAATTGGGATCAAAAAACGTGGAAGGAATATATGGTCTCTGAAAAAGCAATGTTTCATGAAATCAAAGCCTCTATTTATTACTTCGGATTTACTGGATGACTGCGGCCAATCTGATTCGATTTCATCGCGATTCCCTTTGAAGTAAAATTTGATTGATCGTCCATATCTTTTACAATAATCTTGAACATAATCAGCAGCTCTTTGGGTGACTTTATCACACGCATTAACATCCAATAGCACTAAATTGGGTAAAATGTGAACCAATTCCTCGATATGTTCATCTTTTAATTTCCAAATGTCCCTCAACGAAAGATGTTTGAGATTCGGATACTTCATAAGCAATCTTTTTAAGTTATTCCAGTTATCATTTCTGATATCCATATCATTTTCGTAACCGAGTCTATCCTGTGAATATAAAATCAATTATTTTTATATAAATAATTTATTATTAATAGTTTATACGGAAAAATTTTGCACATATGAGCCTCTGTTTGTTGAGGTGAGCTAACTTTGTTTGCTTTTGATCTGAAATGTATCTGAATAAAATTGTTTATTTCAAAGAAGCAATTACATTTCAAATCTGAACAATACTTACAAGTTGTATAACTAAATCTTGTAAACATTCGTGTTTTAATGTTTCGTTAAAATACCAATTAGTAGCATTCATGAAAATATGGGCACTTTGTAAATTTGGACATAAATCCATCAACATGAAACCATAGAAAATTTTTCTAGGGTAGAAATCGAAATGAAACTCAAGTATTTTGAGCTTTTCCAATACTGGACCATCGTAGAAATAGTCTGGAGCTGAACGATAGATTTTCATAAGCAAACATTTCTGATCAAAATATTTTCATAATTACCTTTAATTTGAATCTTTAGTCTTTCAAGGTTTGGCAAATAATGTGCATCTCTTTCCAAAGCCTTTAGACTATAACTCCAAATGTCCAATTGTTTTATCCTGGAACTATTTCTTAAATTGTTTGGATTGATAGTATTGACAGAAAGCATTTCGAGTTTATCGCAATATTTTTCTATTGGTTCATCAAATCGATTGATTAATCCTTTCAAAGATTCCTGTTTTCTAACAAATTCAATAGCATGTTTGGCTTTGAGATGTATTTCAGGAGACAATTCAACAATCTTACAATGTTAGTAAATAAAATAAATAATAAGAAAATTAATATTCAATAAAAATAAGTTTGATTAATATTAATGATATCAACCTACTTTTAAATTTGTAAATAATTTACTCACAAGGGAAGTTACCCAAGTGTCACTCCTGGATTTTTATGTTTGATAGCTCATTCGATAGGGCTAAGGGTGTAGATGAATGCCCTTTTGGGTTTTGTCTGCGAGTTGAGTGGTTCCTGAAATATTTCAGATAGAATGAATCAATCCAATAAAATCCGAGATAATAAAAAACATCAGATGAATCACTACGATGATCTGAAAATATTAAGAAATGGATGACAATGAGCATGAAACAAGAATAAACTTGAATCTTATCGATCAAATATTTAACCTTTTTGGCCCGCTTAGTAATTAAATTGCTCCATTTAACGCACACTGTAATAAAATTACACTTATTTTATAAATTTTCATTTTCTCAATCGTTCTTAAGTTACTTTCAAAACCAACACAACATGACTGAACATTTGTGAAATTATTTAAATGCTGCGCCTAAACAGCCAAATGGGTGGTTCGTGTAATAATCACAAGATGACAAAAAAAAGGTTTATTCAGATGAAACTTTTAAAATACTCAGAGGCTGAAGCTAGTTGACTCATGCAAAAAGATCTCTGATCAATTCAGTAAATCGTCGGTCAGGTCGACTAGAAAAATTGCAACCATCACTGATTCGGTGTTTGCCACGAAAAATTGACTATCGTCAAATTGAAAATGAACATTGAATTGAATGTAACTGCACTTTACAATTGAAACAACTTTTGATGGTTCCTCACAAACCAACTATGAGACAGTTAAATCTGCTCCTAATAAGCTCAAAAATTTTGAGTCAAAATGGTTTTTTAATTTAGTCTGAGCATAAAACTTCTTACTAGGGAAATAGATGAATTTTATGACACAAAAAACATAGTTGGTCCTTACCTTTATAACAGTTTATTAAATGATCCAGGTTAACCATATAATCAAAAATGGCGAGCAAACAATCATCGGGAATTTCATTGATCAACATTTTATCATAAAATGGTCAAAACTCAAAGAGTTAAATTATTCTTTGTCAAAACTACAGTAACTGTAGTTTGCCTTGTGAGTGTAGTGATTGTATCCAAAATGGTAAAAGATTCAATCTATCGTTTAATATTGGTTTTCCCTGTAGTTCCCATAGATGTCAGCAGTAGATTGAGATACAATTGTTAAAATAAAAAATTGAGATTCTTATTGAGATTTAAGGATTCAATTTAACTCAACATTCTTACAAATGCCGATTTTGTTAACTTAACTCTTATTACTAGTGCACTGAAAAATGTTGCGTCTATTCAATTTTTAGTCTATTCATGTTTTATTAATACTTTGAAATTTTATTCCAAAATCTTGAATCATAATTTATGATTCATAAACATTTTTAATCAAACAAATTCAATTCAAACAAAACTTTTTAGACCAATCTATCTCCAAATCAATCAAATAAAAGTTTATTTCATTTGGAAATAGATACAATCATTTATCTTTTACCTATCATCATTATTTTTGAATCCTCGATGAAAGTTATCTACGGATCTAAAGTTCCAATCCTTTGACCACAAAGACATTTCTTTAGGTTAGACAATAGATAATATTCACTAGAGAAACAGTTCGCAAAATAATAAAGTGGATGAATAATAAAGATTAAGTTGAAACTCTTTGAATGGGCTTTCGAGGTACAAATAACAAATTTATTAATAAGTACTTTTCAGTAATCAATTGGAATCAAAAAATGTGAAAGAATTAAAAAGTCTTTGCGAAAACAATGTTGCATGAAATCAAAGCCTCGACTAATTATTTCGTGTTTAGAGGATAACTGAGGCCAATCTGATTTGATTTCATTACAATTTCCATTGAAGTAAAATTTGGTTGATCGGCCATTTCTTTCACAATGATCTTTAACATAATCAGCAGCTCTTTGAGTGACTTCCTTAAACCCGATAACATCCAATAACACTAAATTGGGTAAAATGTCAACCAATTGCTTGATATGTTCATCTTTTATACCGTAAATTCCCCTCAACGCAAGATGTTTGAGATTCGGGTATTTAATAAGCAATCTTATTAAAGCATTCCCGTAAGTATTTCTGTTGACAAATTCATACTGTAAATATAAATCAATTAGTTTATATGGAAAAATTTTGCACAAACGACCCTTTTCATGTTGACCGTAACTTAACCTTGTTGATTTTGATCTGAAATGTATCTCAATAAAATTGTGTATTCCAAAAAGCAATTACATTTCAAATCTGAACAATACTTACACATCTTATAACTAAATCTTGCAAACATTTGTGTTTCAATGTTGCATCAAAAAACCAAGAATCAGTATTCATGATAATATGTGCACTTTGTAAATTTGGACATGAATCCATAAACTGGAAACCATGAAAAGAAGTTTCAGGTTGTTCTTCGTAATAGTCTAACAACTCAAGTATTTTGATCTTTTCCAATACTGGCCCATCGTAGTGATCGTCTGGAACGTCTGAAATTAATAAATTTTCATAAGCGAACATTTCTGACCAAAATATTTTCATAATTACCAAAAATTTGAATCTTTAGTCTTTCAAGGTTTGGCAAATAATGTGCATCTCTTTTCAAAGCCTCTAGACTATAATTCCGAACAACTAATTGCTTTATGCTGGAACCATTTCGTAAATTGTTTGGGTTGATAGTATTGACGGATAGCATTTCGAGTTTATCGCAATATTTTTCTATTGGTTCATCATAGAAATTAATTAATCCTTTCAAAGATTTTTGCTTGCTAACAAATTCAATAGCATCTTCTACTTTGCGATGTAATCTAGGAGACAATTCAGCAATCTAAGTTAATAAGATAAATAAGAAAATTAATATTCCAAGTAAAATGCAACAAGAAATTTGATTAATATAATAATATCAACTCACTATTAAATTTGTAAATAATCTACTTAGACAGGATGAATCAATCGGCCGTGCTCCTCGATAATAAACAGCATCAGATGAATAACCGGGATCCTCTGAAACTATAAATTTTTGTGATTAAGAAATGGATGACAATGAGCATGGAAACATTATTAAAACTTACCAAACCGAAATTTGGCGCTCAAATATTTAGTTTTTTTGGTCCGTTTAGCAATTAAATAGCTCCATTTAACGCACACTGTAATTAAATTACACTTATTTTATAAATGTTGTTATACAATTACATGTACTTTCGGAACTAACACAACTTGACTTATTATAATATCCATGAAAATATTCAAATTTCACGCCTCAAATGTCAGAAGATTGAGCATGCAATAATCAAAAGACAACAGAAGATGTTTTATTTAGATGAAACTTTTACTCGAGTTTATCACAATATTGAAACAACTTTTGATGGTTTTTCACAAACTGGCTATGACACAGTTAAATCTGCTCAAATGGTTGTGCGATTTAGTCTGACAAAAGTCTGTTTATAAGCACAAAAACTAAGGAGTGAAAGAAATACAAATTGCGTCCATGTAAATCGAGTACAACCGAACATGTCCTTTTAAACTTGATAATGTAATTGAGGCATATTTTTAATTTAAACAAGGGTCAATTTTGCGTGACACACTTCTTACAATGGAAAAGACGATTTTTGTGATAAAAAAACGTTTGGTACTTACCTTTATAGCAGTTTAATAAATCATCCAGGTTGTTAATATAATCAAAAATGGCAAGCAAACAATCATCGGGGATTTCATTAATCAACATTGTATCATAAAACGCTTCAAACTACAGTTTTCACTTGAATCTACTTATTGTAGCCAAAATGGTATTCAATAATGAATCACGTACAGAGTGGACAGAAAGTTTCTGGTGTGAGGGCGGAGATGAAAATGTAGTGCTGGGCGATTTTATCGATAAAATCAATAATTATCGATGATCGCGGGCTGCAGCGATCATCGATTACCATGAGCAAATATCGATGTTTTCTAATTCCCTTATTACAGAAAATTACTTTTGACGGAGACATCTTTAAAGAATGAAGAAGACAGTTCATTTGCAATCTATTTTATATTGTAAGTCTTCTTAACATTGTCTCACCCATTCTTAAAGGATTAAAGTTTCACACTTGCTTTTACGACCAGTTTCCTCTTTAATCTTTACACTGTCTTCTTCATTCTTTTAAGATGTCTCCGTCAAAAGTAATTTTCTGTACCATGCTCTTCAAACTCATTTTGGTGAATTTTTTCTGAGTTTTGATGGTACAACTGAAGATAAATTAATCTACCTTGACCCTCATAATGATCAGAAAGCAATTGATCGAAGCAAAACTGATTTTCCCCTAAATTCATATCACTGTGACTTTCCTCGTAAATTATCAATTGATCGGATGGATCCAAGTTGTGCCATTGGTTTTTATTGTCGAACACGTCAAGAATTTACAATCTTTTACTTTTGAATTGCCTTCTTTTAACAGATGAAAAAGTGTTAATCTTCACCCAGATTTAAGCTGCTTCAAATTCAAGCTTTTGAATCCATTGGTTTTCAAAAGGAAAAATTTGTTTAACTATTGAAAAAGTTCATAGCCTCTGGTCCTTAAGATACCCGATGGGCAGTTTGTGTCTGAACCTTTGCTTTGAGTAAACTGCCTAAACTGTCTGTAATGAATTAGCAGACACAATCGGAGAAGTGATAGTTCCAAAACACACTGATTATCCCATGTTTGTTGTCTCTGAAGGTTCAGCATCTGTTCATCGTTATGATTTAGATTGTTCAATGGAGCAAACCATTCGTGTTAAGCATCGTTATATTGATGCTCTTGGAGAGGTCAACTTCTGAATTTGATGCAGATGAGTTTGTTATGATCTGATTCAAAAACAAGTTTCCCTTGACTCTTTCCTAATCACGGATCTCAATACCTAAGTTAAATCACTCATGTCAAGAGAAATGTAAACAACGACAAACTATTGATTTGCATCAGGTTCATGAAAAATAAATTAATAATAGACAATGTTTATGCAGAATTATTTAATTTTTACAAATTATGGCAAATGATTTGTTTGTGTTGCCTCAACTGTGAATACGAAGGCCTATTAGATAATGGTGCTCAACTTCACGCCCATGAATGCTTACATATGTGGCTGATAATTTTTTTATGAATACTCTTGAAATGAATGAATGAATAATCATCACAGCTTATTGCAATAATTATCTGAAAGGTCTTTGTATACACTAGGAGTCAGAAAAAAATTGCCGATTTTAACTTAACCCTGATTACTAGTGCACTGAAAATTGTTGCCTCTATTCAATTTAGAGTCTAATCATGTTTCACTTTGAAATTTTATTGCAATATCTTGAACCATAAACATTTTCAATCAATTCGCCGTAAATCAAAATTTTTTAGACCAATCTATCACAAAAGCAATCAAATAAATTTTTATTTTATTTAGAAATAGCTACAATCTCTACCTATGGTCATTATTTTTGAAACGTCGATGAAAGTTATCTACGGATATAAAGTTGTAATCCTTTGACCACAAAGACATCTCTTTAGGTTAGACAATTGATAATATTCACTAGAAAAATAGATCGCAAAATAAAGTGGATGAATAATAAAGATTAAGTTGAAACTCTTCGAATGAGCTTTCGAGGTACAAAATAACAAATATATTATTGAGTACTTTTCAATAATCAATTGGAATCAAAAAATTTGAAAGGAATGCATGTGGTTTGAGAAAGCAATGTTTCATGAAATCAAAGTCTCGACTAATTTTTTCGACTTTACTGGATAAATGCGGCCAATCTGAATCGATTTCATCACGATTCCCATTGAAGTAAAATTTAATTGATTGTCCATGTCTTTTACAATAATCGGCAACATAATCCGCAGCTCTTTGAGTGACTGCCTCACACTTTCTAACATCCAATAGCACTAAATTGGGTAAAATGTCAACCAATTGCTCGATCAAAATTAATGCTTTTTAAATTATTTTTAGTATCATTTCCGTTGTCGTATGCAGACTGTAAATATAAAATCAATTAGTTCATATTGCAAAATTTTGAACCGATGAACCTTTCCATGTTGAGGTAACCTAACCTTGTTGCTTTTAATCTTAAATTTTA